AGTGAGTGAGTGAGTGAGTGAGTGAGTGAGTGAGGGAGTTAGGTAGGTAGAGTGCAATCAATATATCCGTGAAATGCAAATTACTATTTTGTACAAAATAGTGCTAATTAAAAAATAGAAAACAAAGGATTTTGTACCAACTTGTGCAATTTTGCTTTACCAACGTTTCAAAGTTATTCTGTTTTGCACTCTGACTAGTACAGTTAGTTTGTGAGTGAGTGAGTAAGTGAGTGAGTGAGTGAGTTAGCTAGTTAGTTACAGTGCAATCAGTATATCCGTGAAATGCAAATTACTATTTTGTACAAAATAGTGCTAATTAAACAATAGAAAACAAAGGATTTTGTACAAACTTGTGCAATTTTGCTTCACCAAAGTTTCAAAGTTATTCTGTTTTGCACTCTATTTAGTTAGTTCATAGTTCGTTAGAGTGCACGCACTAAACCCGTGAAAGAAATACTAACTTTTAGTACTAAATGGGGACAAATAAACCATAGAAAACAAAGTATTCTGTATGAAATAGTACTAATTAGTACTAATTAATGTTCACGGATTTAGTGCGTGCACTCTATTTAGTTAACGTTAGCACGAATTTTCAGTTATAGTCCATAGTTTTTCAAATACATTTTTATGATCACGTAAGAGAGCTTTCTGTCTGTCTCTTGTCTCTCTGTATAATTCTAACGTTTTCTAGATATAGATATGGAATATTTGTGAGATTTCCTAAAGTAACTTTATTGTTTTGAAGCAAACAAAAGGATTGAATAGACTGAAAACAAAAGCTTCGAAAAAAATTTCAAAAATATATTTTTTAAATATTTCAGTTAACGGCTGTACATACAAGTAGATAAATGAATGTGTGCAGGTTTTATATCATTTGTATTTGTGGATAGAGATTTCTGAGAGTGATATGATCATGAGGGAACATTAAAAAATATCGTCTTGGCAATTGGGGTAGAAAAAGAAGAGAGCAAAACCAGAAGGGGATAAAGATAAGATAAAACTAGGCTCATTAGACCACCTACAGATCGCATTTAGAGATATTTTTGCTTTGTATTTCAGCTTGCCTTGCTATCTTTCTCGTTATATAACTTGTTCGGTATTAGTCACGTGAGTAGCAGGTGATCCCCTTTGAAAGGAAGCCGCTTTCTTTCGTGTTAATGATGCTGTTTGCCTTCTTTTGTGAGAATTGGTCTTTTCACTGGTACTAGCTCAACCAACACGTAAACCACTCATAAATTTCTGTCTGTAATTGGTTCATGAGCTAAAGAGTGGATTACTTTGAAATTATTATTATCTCGAAGCCAAAACATATTTGAGTCGTGAACAGAAACAATAAGCTCTAGGGCAACCACGGTATCCAGTCGATTCCATCACTGTCATATTCTTTACTCTACAACACTTGTGAAAAAAAATTACAATCTGCATTTCAAAGTAGAACTAAGTCATTCAGGTATTATTGTTATGCAAGTTTGCAGTGAAGACAGCTAAAACTCGACTGGCTGGATTCTCTTAAAAGGTTAGGCAAGTAATGAATTGTAAAAACTATGGAAATGAGGCAATATTTATCTTTTGTGCTAAGAGAGCTTATCAAGAAAACGCCATAGGAATAATCTCTGAGTTTTCCCTCGAGCAAACTGGGAATAAGAATATCTAAAACTGTTTATTTTATGAATTCAATTCAATTTTTCTCATGCTTAACCGTTTCTAAATTTTTGATCTATAGGTTTTAATTTTCGCGGTAAGAAATATTTTATTGGACCAAAGGAGTGTTATCATCGAAGGATTTCAAGTTGTCCTCGGAGAGAAGCCTCAAAGGTCGCATTTTTGGTGATGGCCAATCTTCTTCGTTGTCAAGACTACCATATGATCTCAGTTATTGAAGTTTAGAAGTTGACTATCAATATAATCGAGAAGCTATCGAGTCAATCGTCGAATAAGGTATTTGGTCGTAAGTTGTCACGCTTTAAAGCCACGAGCATCGTAAACTTACACCGCTAAACAGAAAGCTACGAATGATTCTGAATATGGGTTGAAACTTTGCTCGATATTTATTCTCGGTAAAATGGAACATTTGAAATCGGTCGCGACTTCCAGGGAACAGGATTCCGCTTCATATATGTTCTTAAATTCTACCTGTGAGTATTTGCTACGAATTTACGAATGTTCTATGTTGTCAGTGTAGAGAAGTCAAGTCATCTCTACTAATTATTCGCATCAGTTTATTTATGAATAACTCTCCCTGGGTGAAGATTTATTAACCTGAGTCAGAAGCATTGTATATTTGTGGCCATGTCTAAGGTTAAAATACCCGAAAATACAGCTTTGCAGGACAATGCTATCGCCGAGTTCGGAAAATCACAACGAGATTCCAAAAACTTGGAGGACAAAATCAACATAGATGGCGGCGAAGTTGATGATGATGATGATTTATACAATGGAGTTGATATTTTGGAAAATTTCGAGCCTGTGGCATTTTACTTCATCAAGAGAGAACGTCTTCCTAGACTATTCTTCATTCACCTGGTTTCTTGGTCATATCCTTAAACATTTAAAGAATCCTTAAAAATTTTCTATTTCTATCTATTTATTTAAACATCTATCTATTTCTCCCAGGTTTTTAGTGCAAAAGGTATTTCTGTCTTAGCGATGATGAGCAGGTGAGCATAGCCAGTTTTAAACCAGACAGCGTTTGAATTCAAAATGACTCGATATTTTATGCGCACCGCAAAAATGGTCTTCTAACTTCGAGTCATAGCCTTAAGTTACAAGACAATTTAGTTGCATTGCGGTCGATTCTATCTTACTCTTAGTGCCATCATATATCGATCACTAAAATACGAAGTCAAAAGCTAAAAAAATGTTTACCCGCAAAAAACAGAAGCAAAAGAACAAACATTATTTATTTAATACATTTTTATCGCTATTCCTAGTAAAATCCTAAAGCTTTTATCCCAAAATAAAATTTCAAAAAAATGGGCTTATTTTCAGAGGGGAAGATGTTTGCAATCCATTCACGAACGAGAATTAATCCTTCATCAAATAGGAGTTTATTTTTACGATATTTTGATCTTAAATTTTGTGTTTTTCAACCCGATTCGTCTGTTTGTCTATTCAAGTTTAAATTTTCAAGAGTTTGGCTGTAAACTGAGAAACCCTTTTTTCTGCTATTGGTAAAAAAGCACAAACCTGTAGATTTACATTCACAGACGATATTTGAAAGACCTTTTTTGCTCTAAAATATTCATAATCTATAAAATAATGCTCTTTTACACTCCAATCTCAGGGTTTCCTTTTTTCATCGATTGATTAAAATCATTTCTTAAACGTTTTTTTGCATATTTATACTCGTTTTCAATTTTTTCTTTCATACGAGTCGCTTCGGTTGAAGTTTTATTTATTTTTCGTCGGGCAAACAATTTCTGCTTATAGATTGGGCTATTTACTATTTTTAAACTATATGTGTTCTTCCTATAGGGAATTATGCAGCTTCTGCTTTCTTAATTACATCCTAAAGATGCTGAGAAAATTAATTTTATAATTAAGAAAATTGTATCAGAATCCATGTTTCAAAAAACTGCATCAAATATCAGGATTAGCAAGGATAAATCCTATAGCTAAAAAGTCTGTCGGGTTTTTTTGAAAATAAATGCACTCAAAACCGTGTTTAATTGTTTACGAGTAATTCATATTCGTCGTGGTTAGAATTCAAGAGATTTCCCCAAATAGTTAGAAAAAAATTTTCGCGTTTCGAGAAAAAAGGCTGATAATCTTGATTCTAAGTGCTTTTTGTCTTGACATATCAAGTAAGGTTTAATCGTAATAATTTTACGAATACGACCAATATACATAACAAGTCTAGAATGGCAGTACTGATTTTCGTCGCCTGGGCCATAGACGTAATTCATTTAGTACAAGTTAGTTTTGTTGGCAAATTGTGTATGTCACATAAATTGAAAACACGAGGACAATATACCTATCTCACAAGGTCATTTATATCTTCTATATAAATTTCAATATCACGTCTTTTTCCTCCAGCGGAAGTTTATTAGCCTATCTCACACTTTTGAAGGCAAAAATGAATTCATTAGATCAAGCTTTGAAAGCATTAAAACTATTTTCGACGCTAAGAAGGAATTTTATTTAAATGTTTATCAAAAATCAATGCCAAAACCGAAAATATTATGATAATATCTTAAAAAATAAACAGATGATATTTCTACGGATTGAAAAATGAGCATATTCAAATTTGTCGATCCAAGGGACCGGTTTTTCTATACAACCAACTGTTTTTCCTTAATGAAAATCTCAGCATGTAGCAAAACTTATCATATAAAGATAAATACGCACGGAAGATATTAAAAATCTTGAAATGGCCAGTCATAAGAGTGTTGGAAATATTTCCTCAATTTAGCATTTTTTTGAAAAGTATTACATATTTTGTCGGCATATTTTTTTGAGCATGCGTATATAACCTATTATCGTATGAGTAGGAAACGTACGGTATGGACTTACAGTACGTACACGGTACGACATGCAGTAACATTGAAAAAATGGCTTCCCATAATGGTTATCGTATGATTAGGAAACGTACGGTATTGACTTACAGCAAGTACACGGTACGACATGCCGTAACATTGAAATGGCTTCCCATAATGGTTATCGTATGATTAGGAAACGTACGGTATTGACTTACAGCANACAGCAAGTACACGGTACGACATGCCGTAACATTGAAATGGCTTCCCATAATGGTTATCGTATGATTAGGAAACGTACGGTATTGACTTACAGCACTTACACGGTACGACATGCCGTAACATTGAAATGGCTTCCCATAAGAATGCCATCGTATGAGTAGGAAATGCATGGGGTTTTTCGTATCTCAAACTTTCGTCAAAATAAATATTCATCTTATTGTTTACGTTTGGTTTCCCGCGGCCCCAAAATTATTTAATTCAACTATTTATGCATTCCCATCTGATGAAGGCAATTTTACCGACAATAATTATCATCAAGCCTATTCGTGTATGATTGGCTTACGGCGAATATTAGGGAATTAGTGAACCTCTTAATGAAGAATTCTGGAGCCTTGTCATTTACTGCGCTCTAACAGCCGTTTCAATCCAATCTTCATTTAGTATTAAGAGCTAATATTTCTTAGTGAAAACAGGAAATAAAACTATAGGTTTATAAATCTATTTTGAGTGATCTCCTACTATTTTGGTAACACACTATTTTCAGCCAGTTTGCTTTTTTAAAATCTTTTAAAACTTATACATGAGTGTATACTTATGTTTGATTATCGTTATGTACTTTCATAAATATGTCGCTTATGATTGGCTGTGGCGTCATATTCATGGAGTCGACTCAGACAAATTACCGAACCAATCACCGTGCAGCAGTTTTCTCAGTGAAATTAAAATCTTGTCCCTCAAAAAACTACAAAGTATCTGTTTTGAAGAGAACTACCAGGACTACGAAGCAATTTTCTATTCTTTTCGCAGGACATGGAACAATTGAAATAATTCATAATCAATTTTCCAAGATCAGAGTTTTAAAGTGCCTATCACCCTTCTGACAATATTCACAGTATTAATTCTACATGGAGTAAGATGTTGAATAAGACAAAAAAAAAAAAAGTTTAAGTGCAACTTCTTGAAGTCTTAAAGGTTTTTCCATGCCATATGCTAATGCTGTGACGTATGAGGAGTAATCATTTAATATACAAAACACTACTGGTACAGATAAATTAAATTTGAAATACGTCATTGTTTTGCCCATTGCTCTTATAGAAATGATTGCAAGTTAGTTTTCCCATAGAAACTTTCATAACTTCAAGAAGCCGCACTCAAACTATGTAAATTTTTCGGGTTATTCAACATATTACCCCATGTAGAATCAATACTGAGAATATTGTCAGAAGGGTGATAGGCCCTTTAAATTCTGAGTCATGGATGGGACATAGCAACAGTAACTAAGGAAATTAGCCAAATCTACCTATCTATCAAATTTTGTATTTTTAACTGAAACATTTGCTTTGAATTCTTAACATTTGTCAAATACTTTGAGCGCATCAGTATATTCGTTATTCTATGTAACTGTGTCACGCTTGGTCTCTTCGATCCATTCGACGATGATTGCGTGACACGGAAATGCCAGATCCTAGAGAAGATAGAGTTTGCGATCTACGTGTTCTTCGTGGTGGAAATGTTGTGTAAATGGATGGCAATGGGGATATTTGGAAAGCTGGGATACTTAGCTGATAACTGGAACAAACTCGACTTCTTTATTGTTGCTGCAGGGTAAGTAAATTTGCTGTCAATTTGCTGAACAAAAAATAATAATCTCAGAGGAATAACACGTGATCTGAAATGGGAAAACAAACGTCTACGCTAAAAAGGTCTATCGAATTTCCAATGAAAATAATTGTGCACTTAAAATATTTCTTAGCTTTTGGCATGGTTGTAAATTGCAAAAAGCCTATTGAAAATATGAGCGATGTATCCCAGTAAGTCTTCGCGGTCGTCACCACAGGGTTCCCATTTTGCTTCTGCTTCACCTTTTTAAATATTTCTTTTAGGACATTTGAAATATTCTACGACAAAGGAAAGTACATGACTGCAGTGCGTGCCATACGAGTCTTAAGACCTTTAAGAGCAATAAACAGAGTACCAAGTAAGTAAATAGAGCACATGAGTTTGCACCATCAAACCTGTCATGGCCGCCATCACGTGATGGTACAAAGCCTCTATATAGATTCAGACACGCCTAGTAAAGCACGTCTTTTCTACGATGAAACTGTCTTTTTTACGATGAAAGTAACGCAATCTTGTAACCGTGACTCATCTGTCCTTATATAGGCATACGAATTCTTGTCACCCTACTTCTCGATACGTTACCGATGCTGGGGAACGTTCTAGCAATGTGTTCGCTAATCTTCACGATATTTGGGATAGTTGGTGTTCAGATGTGGCAAGGATTATTAAGAAATCGTTGTAAGATAGAAATGCCAACTAATCTCTCAGCAAATGAGTAAGTAAAATAAATGAGTTTTTAAAATCAAAGATGGCGTCGATGACGTCACAAAACATAAGAAAACCATTTGCGCATACAACCAGAATTCCTTGTAGACTTTCTTTTGTTCAGAATATTACATGGCCGCTTGGAGGTTACAGATTTTTGTGTTCTCGTGTTGAGAATATTTTCCTCGTTCGCTGCGCTCACTTGTAAGATATCAACTCAACACTGGGAGATAAAATATGTATCTTCAAGCGGCCATGCAATATCGCTTATTTAATCTTTATTTTATAGTAATGATGAAAGGGTAAATTATACACCGTGAAAAGATGAAAACACTTACTGACCTTTCGGACGCTTGTCCTTAAGTTTTTTTTGACGTCAGTAAGTTTTTTCATCTTTTCACGGTGTATAATTTACCCTTTTATCATTACTGTTTCATTAGAAACACCAACGCAACTCACACTATTTTTAGCTATAGTTATCTCCTTTTATTTTATATATGCAATAACCTCAATTAAGTTTATAAATGCATTTGTTTTAGTTACAATTTAAGCACATTCTATGTGCCAAGCGAAGGAGACTTTGTTTGTTCTCCACCAGAAGTATCAGGAATGAAGCGTTGTTCGAGCATCGACCCCTACAGAGCGAACGGTCGGGACTGTTCGTTGGATTATGAGACCTACCTTGAAACGACCGCCCGCTCTAACCACACCAACGTGTGCGTCAACTGGAACCTGTATTATTCGAACTGTACTAAGATTGGATTAAACCCGGTTTATAATACCATATCATTCGATAACATTCTTATAGCATGGGTGGCCATTTTTCAGGTATGGAAAAAAAAGTTTTTCACTGGCGTCAATGCTTTCCCATTTCAGATCAAGTGTCATTCCCTAGAGTAGCATTTCTTTCTTTAACGGTTGCACAAGAAATGACACATGAATATGAATACAACGAAAACAAAAAATCTTATTCTCAAGAGAATGACACGTGGTCTGAAATGGGAAAACATTACGGTTGCACATGAGAAGACACAGACCTAAATGAAATAAACCTTTTTATCTTGAGCATAATATCTTCCCATTCCAGACAACCTGTCATTCCCTAGAGTATCATTTCTTTGTTTAACGGTTGCACATGAGAAGACACAATCATGAATATGGATGCAACTCAAAAGAAAAATTTTATTCTCAAGAGAATGACACGTGGTCTAACATGGGAAAACGTTACGCCCAATGTAAAGAAGGTCGCATGTCGCATGTCGCATGTCGCATGTCGCATGTCGCATGTCGCAGGTCGCAGGTCGCA